TCCAGAACAGGAAGAATCATACAAGTCCACAGAGGAAATAGTTGAAGAACTGCTGGAAGAAAATCTCTCTACCATCCTGAAAAGTGAAAAGATAAACATTTAAGAAGCTCACAAACCCCAGGAAGGATAGACCCCAAAAGAAAATCACCAAGACATATAATCAAGCTCTCTCAAAATCAATCCTAAAAGCAGCTAGGGAAAAGAGAAGAGTTACATACAAAGGCAAGCAAGTCAGATTAAGCTTGGATCTCTCAGCAGAAACCATGCAGGCAAGAAGGCAATGAGGAGACATATATAAAACCTTGAAAGAAAAAAAAAACTGCCAACCAAGAATCCTTTATCCAGCAAAGCTATCAATCACATATGAAGGTATAATCAAAACATTCCAGGATAAACAAAAGCTAAGGGATTTTGCCAAAGCTCTGCAGGAAGCCTCCTTCACTGGCCATGTTGTAGCTCCATCTTTGGTATTCCAGTCATGTATAGGCAGAAGCTGGACTTACAAGCTTTTTATGGTGCTATTTCTGGCTATTTCTTTCTCTCCCCCTCCAGTGTCTATTTTACAATGGTATGCAAGGGAAACCAAGATTCAAAAGACAGCCAAGCATCTTAAAGTATTTCCCCCCTTTTACCCATTCAAACCATGTCTCAATCCCTGTATCCCAGAGCCCTGTTTTTCCAGGGTTGCACATACATCATTATTTACCTCTGTACCACATAGCTTCCTGCCGAGCCTCTACATTACATAGGACCATGGGTGGAATCCTGGACCCCATCCACAATTTTTTGAGGTGGGAAATTTCCACTGGAAGGGACAAGCAGACTAGCCTGGAGTGGCTAGAAGAACAGACGACACTTCTTGAAAGCAAGCCCGACAGGATAAATACAAACCAATAATGGCAGTCTGACTGACTACCACAAAAACAAGCAAGTTGCTAGCCCAGGAGACATCAAAGCAAGTGATCAGGTCCCCTCAGGGCAAACCCCCTTCCAAAACTAAGACTCAGTGGGACATGAGCAGACAAGCACTCCGATTGGTGACCATGTTGGTCGCCATTAAGCAGAAGTGAGGGAACACCAACAGTGAAGCTGCGAGCTAAGCCCTACCATGTTCAATAGACTCCTGTGAACCCGGGTGGAGACCTGGTTGGCAAGACCTGGGGATTCCTGTGCCCAGGGTCAGCAACCTGGCCACAGAGGACTAGAGTGGAGAGTGAAGTGTCCAGCTGATAAGAAGAGAGGGCATATGCACAAGAACACCCACACTTGC